TATATATATATATATATATATATATATATGAAAGCGTAAAATGTTGAAAAATCCCCTATTTAATATAAATTTGTATAAACTATTTGTCAAGAGTTGTTCATAAGGTAGTAGAGTCAATATCAACGTACTTAATGCTTCAAAAAGAATGTTTTCACACCATATACAATAGATCAAATATCAACAATTGTGACCTGCCAAGATATACATTTGATAAACTGTCTTGATAGTTGTGAAATGTCAATCTCAACATATCATAACTGTCTCGATAAACTGTCTATAGCCATTTTAAAACTTTGTCATTCAAAGGTACATTGTGCATGCATTTAAACTCCGATACATCATGCTTACCATTTCTTTTTGCTTACGTTTTAGTATAAGTGAATATTTGCAATTTGACGTATCAACAATTTGTGTACGTAGAAGACAAATGGAAGTGATGAGAAAATACAACATAATTTCAAAAAGGGAATTATAAAAAATGACACTTTTTTGAAAATTGCTATAAAACATTTGATGTGCACTAAATTTTATCAAAAATGTCACTTTTTTGGTGGAAAATGTCCAAATTACCCTTAATCTCCCCTTTTTAGGAGCATTAAATGCTCATTAATGGTAGCCTCCAATCCAATCAATTGTAATGATTTCATTATTTAATTTGTATATTATAATGATTTGGTAAATGTATACTATATTGTATAATATGAATTGACTAAAAAAAAAGAGAAAATATGTAAAAAAAATATAAAAGAAGCAAAAATAAGATAAGAGAAGCAAAACAATCCTAGTTCACATCAAATACATCATTTCTTGAAAAAACCCTCCATTTTCTTTCATCTTCTTTATTCTTTTATCAACAATATATTGCTATTTAATTCATCATCCATTTGGAGAGGTTAGTTAGTACAAATTATTTATATTTTTAAGTAATAGCTTATTATTTTTCACATATTAAAAGCAACATAATCATCAAAGTGAAAAAATCATTTAAAACCACTATTAATGATGATGATATTGTTTTTTCTTTTATTATTTTTTCTTTTTCAAATCATTTTCAAGGGAAAATATACCAAAAATATTTAAGAAAATGTCAACTATTCCATATTTAATGAAGTAATCATTTGTTTATGGAGATATGTAGAGCAATGAAATAATTGTTGTAGTTGAGAATTGATTATAACCATTAATATTTCGGAGAAAGTAACAAACAAACAGGCCTTAAACTTGTCGACGGTCTTGACAGTTTATCTGTCGATCTCGACGGTTATACATGTCGATCTTGACATTTATAAAATGTCGAGATAGAGTTTTAAACTGTCAAAATCGACAGTTGAAAACTGTTGACACCCTGCATTCACATTCTCCTATTGCATCGGTTTAAATATTCGAAAGTGCCCCTTCGATGCTATTACATATCGACATATTGACTGTTCATAATTCTTATCGTTGTAATCCCTTTATTTTAGGTTTGAACACCCATTTGAGATTCATCGTGTCGCACGGGGGAAGGTTTATTCACGCGGATGACGAATGGAAGTGGATAGGGGACAAAACCACATCCATTTTAGTGTCGAGAAATATTACCCTAGCCGGACTTCTGTTACGGTTGAATGAGAAACTTAGCATTATCGATCCGCACACCGAAATGGAATTGAAGTTCAAAGTCCCGAACATGAATATACCGCCAGCTAAAATACGTGATGATGAAGACCTCATGTGGTACATATATGTTTATACAGAAACTGCTCTGTGCATTAATATTGTGGAGACAAATATGAAAACTGTTGACGTAGGGAGGGATACGAATTTGCGTGACCATTTGTTTGCCGCAACGGATGTTCATCAGAACTTAGAACATGATGACATGAATCATGAGCCTAGTTCCCCAGTGAATAATGCAGTCGAAACGGGGAATTTTGATGATGGGGCTGCACCTGTAGACGATATGTTGGACGACCCATTCAATGGTACAGATGCTGCTAGTATTGCAGACGTTGACGCTCGAATGTCATCACAACATATTCGTTCGAGTATAGACCAATGGATTACAGCTGTGGATACATTCGATCTTGTTGAACGGCAAATATACTTGAGCAAGAAAGAGCTGTACTAGAAAATTCGTGTACTTGCTTTGCAAGACAAGTTTGAATTTCATGTAAGCAGGTCAAACCGCAAAATGTTAACCGTTGCATGCGTGGACCGTAATTGCAAGTGGATGTTACGTGCTTCGAGTGTGAAGCAGACTTCTATATTCATGATCCGAAAATTCAACCATGTGCACACATGTTCGGTAGATATCCGTCGTAACGCACATCGACATGCCACTACTTTTGTAATTGCCGAGCACATTTTGGGAAAATTGGATAATCCATATCGGTTGTGCGATCCTACCGCTATTGCACGTGACATAGAACGCGAGTTTGGTGTCAAAATAAGTTACCAAAAAGCATATAGGGCGAAAGTTACTGCTTTACATATGCTACATGGTACACCGGGGGATAGTTTTCAAAAATTACCTTCCTATTGTCACGTTCTGAGAGAGCGTAACCCGGGGACAGTAACCCACATCGAAATTGATTCCCATAACAGGTTTCATTACTTCTTCCTAGCTTTCGGTGCAAGCGTTCGTGACTACATCCGCTACTTGAGGCCCGTTATTTGTCTTGACGGTAGTCACTTGAAAGGTCCATACAAAGGTACACTTTTGCTGGCAACTGGCCAAGATGCCAACAAACAGATATATCCCTTGGCATGGGGGATTGTTGATGCTGAAACAAATAGATTGTGGATGTGGTTTATGTCCAACTTGAAAGAGCTTATAGGTGATTCTGCTGAATTGGTTTTTGTTTCCGACCGGAAAAATAGCATTTTCAATGCCATTGCTCACCTATTTCCTCAGTCCCGTCATAGGTGCTGTATATGGCATCTAGAAAAGAACTTAGTCCAGCGGTACAACAACGCAAGTGTAATATTTCTATTCAAACGAGCTGCACGAACTTCTCGGGTCGAAGAGTTTGAAAGACTTATGGGACAGATCCGTAGGGTAAGTGCAAGAGGGTACGGGTACTTAGAGCGAGCAGGTTTCTCGTTTTGGTCACGAGCACTGTTTGTTGGTCAAAGGTACAACATTTTGACAAATAACAATGCCGAATCTTTGAACTCAATGTTGAGACATGCCCGTTCATTACCGATCATGTGCTTGGTTGAACACATTCGACAAACTATGCAGAAGTGGTTTCACGAACGTCGAACCAGTGCAACCACATGTACTGGCATGCTGTCGTTGAGGATGGAGAACGAGTTACGGACAACGCTTGAAACAGGTACAAGGCTTCGAGCTCATGGCTTGACAGAACAGTTAACACAGGTTGGAATATCCAATGACACGGACATCGTCGACTTCTCTGATAACAGCTGCACTTGTCGTGAGTTTCAAATTAATCGTATGCCATGCGTTCATGCCACTCGAGTTGCTTGCTTGCGAGGTATGTCTTTGTATGACTTATGCTCACCGTATTACACATCGGAATACTGGAGAGGTACCTATAGAGAAGCTATATATCCCGTTATGCGTGAAGTGGACTGGATAGTCCCAAACGAAATTACAGGTACTCCTATTAGGCCACCCAATGTACGTCGTCCACCAGGTAGACCACCCACAAGACGTCAGCGATCCAGATTCGAGTCCGCTACACGACTGAGGAAATGCACTCGCTGTGGTGGATTAGGTCATAATCGGAGCACATGTTCCAACCCCATTATACCACGGACCGTTTAAATAGGCGTTTATAATAAGTAGACTTTTGTTCGAAAGTGGTTGAAGTTGTATGTGAACTGGCACCCCCATGTCATTTGTAATGAAAGAATGTAAATGTTCTCATTTTGTCATTATTGTCGTTTGTTTGCTGACATTAGTGTTTCTCATGATCGCAACTAGTTAAAAGATATTGTAATTGATATCCCTTCAGAACATCTCGACAGTTAAACTGTCAGTCCCGACAGATGGTTACAAAGTATATAATCTGACTTATCCGAAATATTTATGCCTGCATGACTACACTGTTACCCATTCAAGTCTCTACTTACACAAATATTTTGAATCATAACATTTCTTTTACATTCCATTATCGTTTCTTAACAGCAGATATCGTCTTCTAATTTAGCAACAAACAAAAATGGTATGTTTCAAGGACGATATAGGGCTGACCTGATTAGTACTTTTTCCATACGGACTTATTCATAAGACACCACGTACATATAGACACCTAACTCCACCTACAAGAAATTTTAAAAATAACTTATTTTTTGATGCTTCCAAGTTCATGTGTTAAGCCCGAACCAAGAAATCCCGACGAACCTACGTTGTCAATACAGTGAACTTGTTCATTCGAGGGTACGTCAATTTCAGTAAACAAGGGATCCATACAGGGGAACACAAGTTTCATACTTACACAAATGAACCTATGCTCTTACATCCCGACAGTTAATCTGTCGTTCCAGACAGTATACATGCCGTTCCCGACAAATTGTTTTTGTCCTTGTCCATAGTAGGTCCTATACCAAAATATAAAGAAAACAGTACGTAAACAATGGAGGTGCTCTTGCTCACCATTGCCGAACTATGTTACCAGATCCATCCCTGACAAAATACGAACTATACATTATTTCATACGTACCACATACCCATATTCGCCACCTCATTGATTGTCCACACTTGAACCATCTTGTTCGGAGTCATCGGAGCTGATCACAATGATCTCGGGAGATGGAACATGAGCCAACCACGCGTCATCGTCAGACTCAACTTCCATCGGAACCATCAATGGGACGACCCAATCAAGCACGGTCTTTGGACTCTGGGAAGCTTCACTTGCAACATAGTCGAGGTTCGAAAAAGGGACAACGGATGTGGCTCTCGTACAACGTTCATAACTCACTTTGTCATCGTCCGAAGCAATGACGATGGGACATAGTGGGGACGAACTGGGTGTTGGTAGTGGCTCCTCATGCTTGAATGATTCATTGCTCCCTGTTGACAACGCCATTGTTTTGATATGAAAATAATTATTGAACCTGTTGAGGAGTAAACATAGAGACTGCAACATGAATTTTCAAATGTGAATATTTAAGGTGTCAATGATAATATGGACTTACCATGCTATATATAGTAGATTTTTTGGAGAGATGCATTGAAGCTCATTTAGTGCACCAACCATCAACCCCCATACAATTAAAATTTGATAGACAACTATGTGATGGATGATAGTCTAATCATACTTAAATCCCTAGTATATGTCGTTAAATGGTGGCTGGGGTTGGAAGATTAGTACCAATGTGAGTTATGACTATTGAATTATTTTGGCAATGACTAAAAATGAGCTAAGCACGGTTTTCAATTCCATTTTTAGTTTTTGAATGTGGTGCTCCTTCAAGAAATTGAGAAAAAACTTTTCAATGTAACACCTATGTGCAAGATTTTTTCCATGTTGCTGCATGTATTTGTTATAACATTACATGAAATACAACTTAAATTAATTTTGCTATGCTGGTACTTATTTTTTACTCAGTTCAAAAACGAAAATCATAATGTATTCACGAGATTCTGAAATTACTGTCTTTTAGATGACGAATCGAACTACACTGCATACTCTCGAGTTAGTGGAAATTTCGGAATACATAAATTATAGTCACACGCGCATGCATAAAGAGCAACAAATGGCAACATTGTACAAGTACTTCTGATATAACACATTCAGACATGATGTACAAAAATCTAGGATCATCCATGTGCGCCTGCGTACCGGGTTTATACAACATTCATTGCAACCAACAACAATTACATGGACGAGCTACGCAAGCAAAAGTGTAAGTGAATTTGGACCTATTTATACAAAAATCATCGCAACCAATAACATAAAATTTGTTCATACAACGTTCACCCCTTTCAAGCACTGTACGTGAACTAAAAGTTGCGATGCAGTGACCGTGGAGGGGGTTGAGGCATCTTCATCCACTGTCATCTGCACTTCAATAACCAAAAATGATATAATGAGATCAAAGTTATCATGGAAGTTAATTTAGTAAATGCAAATATACAGCACGTCCGACAATAACACTCAACTAAACAAATAACGACACGATGGTACTCTTACATACATAAAGAAGAAAAAAACCTCAACAAACTAGAAATTACTCCACAAGACTGCAATGCTGAAGTATAATGAAATCCATAATCCAATGCAAAGAGTGGAAGCTAAAATTTAAATTTATAACCTTTGTTACTCAAAATTGGAGTGCTAAATTTGGCAAGCCTCATGAAATATATAGATAAATTCCCAGCCAACTTATTGTCACTTCAATCCAACATTAACCCACAAAACTAATCTCATTCGGTCATCCAACCCAATTCACAAGCAATCAGCAGCACAACATCCAATCCAGTGAATTTCATATACAAATACGAATACTTAGAAAATTGTCTTCCAAGAACCATACAATTTAAATGGAACTACGATTACCAATAAATGCCCAAACATACTAAAGAAATAAAGCATAATCAATTATTAAAAAATTTCAACTATATCAGATATTAAGGATAAAGGAAGTGAATCTAGGTTAAAGAAAAATATTCACCTACATGATAGCATAGGACGGTAGGGGATTGAAGACGGATATCGACAGCAACAGAGGCGGAAGAAAATTTCTCACCTTCGTTCACACAAAGCTGAGACTTTCACCATTTTCTCCCCACAATGTCAAATATGAAAATACCGAAAAAGTGATAAATACTCAGGGTTAGAATCAACAAAATAAAAGGCGACTACTGGCTTCGTGATGGATTGGAGGAGACAAGGTTTTCTCTTAGGGGAAAATGGAAAACGGGAATGGGAAGGGTCAGGGAAAAGGGAGAGACTTTATACTCGTTTTATAATTTCTACACATTTTTAAATTTAACTTTTGTAGACGAGTTGCGTTGGTCGGCTTCGGGTTGGGTTTAAGGGATAATCCATAACCCAACCTAACCGGACAGAAAATGGGAGAAATAAAACCGAACCCAACCCATTTCATTGCAAAAATGGACCCAAACCCCTCGACATGCTCCTTTAGAGATATTCAACTGAACGTGACAAAATCCGACAATATTATGTTTCAATTGCATGTGATATGAACAGTACGGAGAATATTCGTATATTATTTGACATGCTCGTTTAGAATAACATAAACGTACTACGCAAAGACGAACTCCACACAAACTTGAAATCATGTCAAATTTCACCAAAAATACCTCATTTCTTCACTCTCTTCGCCCTCCCCCTGGTGTACGGAGTCTTTGTAGATACTGCAGGACGTCGGATGCATGTCGATCGTCGCCTCTTTGTGGTGGGTAGGTCATTGCATTGCACGGGTATGCTGGCCTCCCCTGGCATGTTCGTCGCACCGCCTACAAAACAATTCCACTTTAATTAGCACTTCATCCATTTGCATCACGAATTTGGGTTAGGGTGACATGATGAGTTCTCCACCGCAATGTACTTACCATCCACATCCGCTACGCCACTAGCGGACGCAACAGGTTTGTCCAAGAGGTTCCCCGAACCACCGGAAGATACTTCGTCATCGTGATTGTTCTTTTCTGGTTCGGAATCCACGCCGCGTCCACCTAGTATGAAATTAACATGCGACGAAATATGAGTAACATTGTATACTTCAAACAGTCGAGAATACATACTAGTGCATGAGGTCATACGTAAGTAAATGATCTAAATATTACGCGTTACTCTAAGCAGTGAAATAGAAGTAATCCATCGTAGTGTACGTACCGTCCGCCTTGGCTACGCCAGTAGGGGACGCAACACCGTCGTCCTCACGTTTCCCCGAACCACCGGAAGCTACGTCGTCGTCGTCACCGTTCAGTGCTGGTTCGGATTCCATGCCGGCTCCACCTACGCATGAGTACCAACATACCCAATATTAGAAATCGCGTGTCGTTCAGGGTTTACACTATACACACTTCCGAATGAGGTGAGACCTATGTACGAAATCAAATATTATGCGTTACTTAAGACACGTACCGTTCCGCTCTTGCATTTCCTTGTCCATATCTTCATCATGATCGACCAACAATGGGGAGAAGCCTCTTCCATGCACTACAAAAACAACAATTGCAAAAATGTAAGGGGATTACGTATTTGCTAGTATCAAATAGTAAAGAAGACATGAAAATGTATCTATAGTAATTGATGCACATACCTTGCGGTTCCTCACATTCCAGGACAGGGTCGATCTTGCCTCCATTTCCATCTAAGTCACAAATCCCATGTGTACTCAATGTCAACAAACATAAGTAACATATAGTAGATAACAATTTAAATGCAGTACACATACCATGCACTGAAGTAGCTAAAACTGTGGACTCGTTTGCCGCCTGAGCCGCGGGTGGAGTACTTCTAGAGAGAGCTGGGGGATGATGGTAGAAATGAAGTCCCTGACCTTCACAAATTCATCGGTGACGTGCTGCATGATCTCAAGCTTCACTGTGCGCAGGCGAATTTTGATGAGCGTTCTTTGATCGAGCAATAGTTCCTCCACCTCATCTCTCGTGAGGCTCGCACCAGAGGTTTGACCTTGTCGTACATGAGATGTGGAGAGTGCATGAATGGAAGAAGTACGTCTGTGCATGGAGGGAGAGGAATATGTCCCAGTCTGCGGTGTATGAGTGTGGTCATCCTCACTGTCCCCACTGTCCCCCTCGTCCGAGGCCTCTCCATTGCTGTCTCC